CAGAGGGGGGAAAGCAGGGCAGGTTGTCCACCCGGTGTGGGGACGGGGGAAAGTAGTTTCTTGGGGGAGTTGTTGATGCAGCGGTTTGGAGGGGAAGAATGGATCTGACAAATACCAGAAGGGCCTCGAGGGGGCCCGGAGGTGGGGGGGAGAGATAGGGGAGGAGGGGGGAAAGGTGGGGAGATACCTGTGCCGCAAACTGTCAAGCGCCGGTGGTGAAGCATCCAACCACCGCGAACAGCGTGGGGGGCAGTAGAAAGCAAGGACAGCAAACGGACGTGTGATGCTTGGTGCCGTACCTGCTCGATGGTGACGTCATCCCCAAGCGTGCGATTGATGGACGAGCCTGTACATTGGGAGAAGAGGGTTTCAGGGGGGGTCAGGGCGGCAGGGGTGAAGGGGGGGCAGGCGGGTAAAAACACACACGACCCCAATGCATGCACGGCCAGGTGCACGCGGGAAGAAGACACTACCGGTCTCCTCGAGGAAAGCGGCTGTGAGGGAGGAAGGGGAGGGGAGCTTGCAAGGGTAGTGAATTTGAATCCAGACGCAACAACAACAATGTATATATATAATACATAATATCAGCCACGATAACAAGAACAGCAGTTCAGGTATGCAGCTCTGCAGTTAGCGGAAGGATGATGCAAGGTGAAGATGTGTGTGCGTGTGTGTGTGGATGGGTGGAGGGGAACTGAGGGGTGGGAGTGAGCTGGGCTGTGCCACGGTGTGTGAGCGGTGTGGCGGTTTACGAGGGGCTCCGAGCGGCGTGGGAGGAGATGAGCAGGGGAGGGAGGGGAGGAGGGTTTTCTAATACCTTTGTAGCCGGTGCCAACGTAGCCCGTGTGGATTGCGACGCTGCGTTTGACTTTGTCTTTGGGGCGCTTCCCCTGCGCAGGTGCCGCTGATGCAGGTGCAGCTGCTTGATTGGCGGCTCCGGCGGCCATTTCGCCTACTCCGGACTGGGCGTTGTGTGCTTGTGTCGTTTCGGCGGCAGCCATGTTCTGATCGCCATCGGCTGTTTGCGGCATGCTGCATGGCTCATCATCGTTGCGGGTTGAAGCAAGATTGTTGGCCGCGACAGCCGAGTCTGATGGAGCGTCCATCGCACGTTCTATTGCGTGAAGATTAAAAGGCAAACTGCATTATTATGACAAGGTTATGGCTTGGGGGTTTGTGTTTGTCCTTGCAAAAGTTCTTAACGGCTAGGAATGGACGAGATATCCTGCCTACCGTACTCATTTCGCAGCGCATAATCTATTGCTGTAGTATGTTTACTTAGACCTCAGTCATCAATCTGGAAACAGTGAAACGCTAGACTAAGTCCGTTAGCTTACGGGGTACCTATGTGCGAGGTAGAGCTGCAATTCGGATGCCAAGTTGTCTGCACTTCTCATCCATCGTGCAGCTCAGGAATAATATTTTACCCAAAATATATTCGGTCCTGTAATAGCCGTCTAGAGTGAGGCGCAGGGTCGCATCGTAGGCCACTCGCAGAATGCATCAGCCTCAGGTACGGTTAGCCCTGACGTGAGGCAAATTGCAGCGATACGCTTTATGGTGATAGCATGCTGCTTACTGAGCAAGAGGGTGTCACATCGGAGCTTTCTCACGTGTTACCCGGCAGGTGCTAAGCAGAGTCTTAAACACACACAACTATAAGAAGGTCGGTGTTACTATTGATGCGTCTCTTGGAGTGTGTTAGGTTCAGTGTTCTTCGATTGGACTCTTCGCACATGCCGTCTTGGTCTGGCCCATATCATCATTAGACCTCTTGTGTATCGTTCTTTTACAGGATGTCGCGGAGACAGGTTGCGCTAGGGACAGAAACCCCTCGACAATCCTCGGCAAGGCGCAGGATTCCGTTTTCACGTCGAAGACTGGTATCCGGAGGCTTTTTGGTGGAGGGGGATCGAAGAAGGAAATAGGTAGGACATCCTTCTTAGCTTCAGCTTCTATCTGAGGCGGCTCTCAATTGCGCGAAAAAGTTCCTGTTTCTTACCGTACTCATAGTCACAATCCGACATCAGGGTGACATACCTGCCCTGCCGCGCACACCCCTTACGAAATTCACAGCGTATGCAACGCTTTCACTGCCTGTCTTGCAGTGGTCCCACCAGCCGCTCCAGAGGAACCTGAGACGCTAGAGATTTCCGAACCCACTCGTCAGTTTGCCTCTGCAGAGGACGTTGCCGTCCGCGTGGCCAAAGTCCGCCGCTCCAGCATGACCACTTATACCGTCAACCTGACGGGAGCTGCGGGGAGCCAGGTACGGCACACAGGGCCCACGGAACCCATGCAACCCATCCAAAACACAAACCAATGGCGCAGGGGACAGAACAGCTCCCGCGGTACCGTAACGTTTGAAAGCATTCCGTGAGGCCATGACGCAACGGCCAACGCGGACGGTGTGCTTCCGGTTTACATCCGGAGTTTACCCGGACCCGCACCAACCGCCGCCGACGCCGTTCCGTAACCTCCATGTAGGTTGAGCGTGAGGTACGGCGGCTCGCGGGCCTTACCTCCGCCTTCACTCGCCCCAGCGCCGCCGCAGCCGCCGCCTCCGCTAACGACACCGCTAACACCGCTCAAGGCGCATCCTTTGACACCGTGGAGGAAATGGGCGCCGCCAGCCCCGGAAGCGGCGCCGGCGCCGGCGGTGAAGTCGACGCCATCTGCAGCGGCGGCGGCGGCGGCAGTCTGGCGCAGCCGTCGCCGCGGCCGTCATTCTTCGGTGGCAGTGTCCGCGGCGGCGGCGGCGGCGGCGGCACCGCGGCCGGCCGTGGGCCCATCCGACCCGCCTTCGGCGCAGCCGCTGCCAGCAGCACCGGCTCCGGCGACGCGTGCCGGCCCAGCGTCAACGGCGACGTGGCCAGTGTACGGCATTCCGTCGAGCTCGCTGACGTCACCAGCATTCCCTCCTCTAGCAACATGAATATTCCCGGTCTGGAGGGGCGCCAAGGAACTGGCCGGCAGGGCCGGCGGCCGTCATTGCCGCAGGCTTTCCTCGGCGCCGACGGCGCCGTTGCCGCCGCGACGGCGGCGGCGACGTCAGCCCCACCACATGGCAGCAGCGGTTCCCTCTCCCTCTCCTCAGTGATACCCAGCTCGAGCTCGCAGCTGCTCTCGGGTCAGCTGGGGCTTATGCGGGACCGCAAGGCCTCCCGTCACAATATGCTTCTTGATGGCTGTTCGCCACCGCCGACGCCGCCGCCGCCGACGACGACGACGATGACGGGAGGCCTGACGTGCCCGGCGACGCCGGGTGGCGGCGGTGGTGGCATTGGCGCTGCTACTGCTGGCGCGTCCGCGTCGTCCCCGGTGATCAAGCTTCCCACGCTGCCGTCAGCGACTCCGGGGAGGGCGCAGTCGGGCTCTCAGATTGGTGGGTTGGGGGTGGGGGTGGGGGTGGGGGTGGGGGGGCATCAGGGTGCCGGGGGGGACAGCAAGGTGGGGAGAGTGGGTTTGGGGGTGGGTGGAAAAGAGAGGTCACCGCAGTAACAGCTCGCACTAATAGCCCTAGATCCCCCTCCCCCTCTTCTCCTGACCACACCCCACCCCACCCCTAGCTGATCCGTCCACCTCCCCGCCACCACGCCGCATACACGCCACCATCGTCTCTGCCTCCACCGTCACCCCCGCCGCTATCGCAGTTGTCGCGCTATCGCCCTTCACCTCCGCGGCACCGTCAGCCACCATCGGCGGCGGCGGCGGCGGCGGCTACCCTCTGGCCCTCACTGACTCCCGCCCTGGCAGCTCCCGCCTGGTGCTGGCCCGCGGCTACACCACCAACATCCTCACAGTGCCCGACAGGAGGAGTTCCGTGGAGAACATCGACCTTGGCGCCGCCGTCACCGTCGGCAGCAGCGGCGGCGGCGGCGGCGGCCGGTGGTTTCAGCAGGACGCTGACGACATGGAGGCGATGTTGTCGGGCAATGATGAGCTGTTGGAACGGTTGATGGTGGCGGGGATGTCGTACGGCAGCGGCAGCGGGGCCCCGCTGGTGGCGGGGGGAGTCGGTGGCGGTGCGGGGAGGTGAGGCGGGTGGGGGTTGGGGTGGAGGGTGGGGGTGGGGGGTGGGGGCTTCCGGACTAAGAGGGGTTGGGGGTGTATGCAGCCACAGACGTGCCTGTGCCCCGCCTCTAACCCCCGCCCACACACACATGTTATATACTCATATCCATTCACTGCACCCGCCAAACCGTTGATGGGGGGCCTTATCCCTATCTAGCACACACGTGCACGCAGAGACGCATACCACCACCGCCACCATAACCGCATCATACCGGAATCTGTGGAAACCAACCTAACCAACTTAACCAACCTGAATCCTCCCCTCTCCCCCCTCCCCCTCCCCTCTTTCAGCCGGGTGTTCAGCGGTTGTGGGGCCGGTGACAGCGGCGGCAGCGGAGGGGGGGAGCCGGCGGGGGGCCGGCTGCTGCCCCGGCTGGCGGACGTGTCCTCTTCCTCGGTCGGGGGCCCGCAGGACCGAGCCACTGCGCAGCTGCAGGAGCTTTGGAGGGTGCAGGTGCGTGGTGGCCTGTGTGTGTATGTGTGTGTGTGTGTATGTGTGTATGTGTGTGTGTGTGTGAGAGAGAGAGAGAGAGAGAGGGGGGGAAATACCTGTGCGTCTTCCGGATGTATGTATCTATACATAGGTTAGGCACTACTGGTAACGCACGACCATTGCCCCCGGGACATCCCGGGATCGAGCCCTGTCAGGGTCGAAAATCCTTCCGATGGTTTAAGGTATTGCGCCCCTAGTTGATGGACGGTGGTGACCTGGGATAAAGTTAACCTGCGAGCCGACCAGGAATGGAGTTGGGCCGCTGTCGACTCGGCAGATTCCGTTGGATGCTGGTGGTGGGTGCGGAACCTGAGCGATCCACTGAGAAGTTGGCTAGGGTGACTGGATGAGGGTGCCCCGAAATACCGGGGAAGGCAGGGTTTCGCAGGGTAGCTGCCACGGGCGAAGATACACCCCCCTGTTTTACACATCTATGTATGTCCAAAAAAGAAGACGCGAGCTCGTAAATGTTTCCTGCAACGTTCCGCATGCAGTTTTTGATAAAGGCACATAACAGTGTTCGCAAAGTGCTTCAGATGGCAGCGCGGTCATCGGTATATGACGCACACTGGACGCACGGGGCGATGTGTGGGCGCACGAGGGCGACATCGTCACTTTTAGCAGCTTGGTAGTTTGGACGCGTCGGCAGCCCCAATTGATTGATCCCTAGCTGCGTCCTCCTCCCGCAACAGCATTATTATCGTCATCGTCATCAACATCATTCTTATCGTCATCATCATCAAAATCATCATCATCAACAGCACCAAAATTATCATTATCAACATCATCAACATCATCAACATTATCAACATTATCAACATCATCAATATCAACATTATCAACATCATCAATATCAACATCAGCATCATCAGCATCGTAAGATCCCTCCCCCTTCCCCCCTTCCCGCCCTTCCCCCCCCCTCAACACACACATACACACACACGCATACACACACACCCCACAGGCCAGCGTGGAGGACCAGCTCAACCGCGAGCGCCTGGCGATGGCGGCGGGCAGGGGGGCCCGGAAGGCCAGTGTACTGGAGGACGTGGCGGGACAGCACCAACCAAGGTGGCAGGTGTCGTACAACGTGGATGCGCCGGTGGGTTTTGCTCTCGAAGCTAGGGCGGTGTGTGAATGTGTGTATGTATGTGCGTGTGCATGTGTATTTGTAACTGCCGTGGGGGCGGTGGTGCGAGGTGGGCTGAAGACTGGGGTGTGTGGGCCCGCGGGGGGTGAGCGGAGCACATGGGTGTCTTTCCCCCCTTGGCATCAGCTTCACTCGCTCGTGGTTCGTCTTCCGCCTCCCCCGTCCCCCTCTCCCTGGGTGGCGTGTGTGTTTGGTTGGTTCCTGTATCATATTTCCTTGTCCCCTTCTCCTTCCCCTCCCCTCGCGCCACCAATCTCGCCCCTGCTCTGTCCAGCCAGCCCCTCAACCAACAATTCACAATCCACCACTCTCAAACCCCCCCCTCTCACACACGCATCAACACATCACCACCGTCATATGATTACCACCACCACCACCACCACACCACCACCACACCACCACCACCACCACCCCACCATGCCCTCCCCTTCTGCGCTGACCGACCGCGTAGGTGACTCACGCCAAGTTGGGCACTGTGGACGCCAGCCGCCGCAGCGAGCTGGACAGGGCCCACCTGACCAAGCTGGTGAAGGAGCAGAAGGCGGCGGCCGGGGGCCAGCAGCACCCGGGCCCGGTAGTGCCGGCGGCGGCCGTATCGCCCGTGGTGGCGAGAGCTCGCCGCTTGTCCACCGTATTGGTGGCTTAGGGAGAGGGGGAGGGGGAGGGGGAGATGGAGGTGGGGGTGGGGGTGGGGGTGGGGGGCCAGGCAGAGGTAGGGATGGACACAGCTGAAACGAGATATGCGGATGGCACGGTTTGTGTTTTGTTGACTGGGCGGCGGCGGCGGCGGCTTCATATCTCTAGATTGCCGAGCTTTGTGTTTTGCGAACTCGACGGTTGTTATCATGGTTGTGGCAGTTAGTCGTTGTGACAGTTGTTTACCCGTTGGGTAGGGGCATCAGCACGGGCTGGGCGCTCAGAGCTGGGGAAGGGTGCGGGATTGCGGCTCTTAACTACCGCGGGGGGGGAGGGAGGGGGGGAAATGCGGGTCGGTTAAATTTGGTTGTGGGGTCGTGAGGCGCACTTTGTTATTAAGTTGCTGTGTGCGAATTTCTTCCCCCCCCCCCAGCCCGGCCCGCGAGTATCTGTCTGTATTTCTGGTATCTGCTTCACTCGCCAGTGGTTGGTCTTACCCCTCCCCCCCAACCACCACACCCTGCAGCTCATCTCTTCATGACGGCATCCGGGGGCAAGGCGAAGGAGTGCACGCAAATGGAAGTGTTTGAAGAGGAGCGGATAAGAGGAGGGCGACTGTGCGGTGGGCAGGACGTGATTGACCAACTGCGCGAATACATACATACATACGTACATGCATACATGTATACATGTATGCATATATACATACAATGAAGATGACGCCGAAGAAATGTTTTTTTTGGCCTTTTTGATGTTTTTTAACGCGCGCACGCGCGCGCGTGTGTGTGTGTGTGCATAGCGCGCAGCGTTGGTGCAGTATACGGGGTCGTATGGTACGGAAAGCCGTACGCAGGATTGCTGGGGGGATTTGCGGTGTGGATTCATTTTTTGTCAAAATGTATGTCTGTATGTGTTCATACGTGTGTCTCTTAAGTGCGGGCGACTAACGGCACTGTGTTTTTGTTTACAGACCGGGGGGTTTCCAAGGGGAAGAGGAGTGAAGTGAGCGAGCTGAGGAAGCTCGGGAGGGAGATGAAGAGGATTCAACGGGTGAGGGGGCGACGGTATTCAACGTGCGGAAATGAGATTGAGTGATTTGGAAATGAATTTGAACCCAAACAAACCCCACTGGGCTGGAACTCAAACAGTGCTCAGCTGATGGGTGCTCGCCCGGCGGCTTCACGACATGCACAGCCGCGCAAAGCAAAGCATATCCCGGAGGCGAAGCTTCCTTACACCACGACACGAGTGTGACACGTGGCCTGGTACGTGCTTGTGTATGTATGTATTACAGGGTGGTATTACAGTGTTACAGGGTGGTTAAGCTTCACCAGCGGCCCCCTTATGTATGTATGCATGTGGATATGCGTCCTGTGTGTTCTGTCCCTTAGGAGTCGTTTTGGTGTTTGTTCGCGGCTGCTACTGCCGTACTGCTACTGCCGTTCTGATACTGCTGCTACTGCTGTTACTGCTACTGCTTGGGTGTGCGACCGGATGGGCTCACTTCACTTTGGGCGCCCTATCCATCCTCTCCGGTCTGGTCTGGATGCTGCGCAGGTGTGCTTATTTTTCTTTGTACGTATGTATGTATGTATGTCGGTATGTCCGTATCTGTGCGTTACACCCCAATACTTCGGCGGCCCTGATGCACCAGAGGGTCCCCGGGGGGCAGGTCACCTGACTAGGTCCCCTTCCGCAAGGGGGGGGGGGTAGACGGCCCCCTTCCCCCCCCCTCCCCCCCGCCGTCAGTAGGCCGCCTGGGAGATGAAGTGCTCTCCGGCAGCTGCCGGGGAGAGGGGGAGGGGGGCCGCTGGTCCGGTACCCTCCTCTCCCGCCGCGGCCCCCCTCGTCCTTCAACCCGGAGGAAGCCCACGCACGTTCGCACGGAGCACGGCGGCAGCTCTACAACGGCCCTTCTATATCCCCACCATCCGTAACACAACACGGCACGAAGCCAGTCTCTCAGCCATCTCCTGTGGCGCCTCTGCTGGCGGGGTTTGCCTCGGCTGGCAGCAGCGGCAACTGCAGCTGCTGTTGCGAGTTGCTTCTGGAGCTGCTCGCCCACCCACAGCCACAGCCACCCACGGCCCCGAGGTTCCCCTTCCGGCCTGGGGAGGCCTGGCAGGCACTGGGTAGCAGCGCCTCTGACAGACTAGACCAGTGGCGCGCCTCCTAAAGTGGACGTATGTATGTATGTATGCATGTTTGTATGGCTTTAGATTACGATGTGGGCTGGGAAAGCCGGGGCCGAAGCCAGAATGTAAGTATGTATGTATCTTACTGTGTATGTATGTGTGCGTTATGACGCGTCGCTTTGCTGTGCTTGCATGCACCGGATGATACTACCTGGTATTGAGGTAATGAGGAGGTTTGCAGTGTGCACCCCGACTGGCCACCCGGCTGGCCTCCCTCTCCCTCCACCTCCCCCCTCCCCTACACTCTTGCCCTGGCAGCAGCTTCACTCGTTCGTGGTTCGTCTTTCCCCCCCGTCTCCCACGCGCCTTGAAGGGCAGGGGGGCTGCCCGCCCACCTCGCCCACCTCGCCTTCGACTTGAACAACGAACTTGAAGATCTGTCCTAGCTAATAAGGATGATGCCGGTGATAATAATGATGATGGGGCGTTACCCCGACGTTACGGACGGATGGACAGACGGACGGACGCTGCGCACCTCGTAGGCGCCGCTAGTTGCGGCTGCGGTTCTTCTGGCCGCTGTTGACATGAGTGGTGGGTGACAGTGGGCCCGGTTGCTGCCTGCCTGCCTGCCTACAGCAACACCTACCGCGCGGTCCGGCACCTGCTACGTGCTGACGCCTCGACTAATAACAATAATTATAATAGTCGTACCACTGATACGCCAGGACGGCGACGATTCATCACAGGAGTTAACTGGAGCCCTCTGCCCAGCAACTCCTTCCTCGGCACGCGTGTGTGTGTGTGTGTGTGTATGCGCCGTGTGTATGAGGAGCCCCCGGGGGAAGTAGGTGAGGGGAGCAGTTGGACAGGGACGGGAGCTTGATACGGCTCGGAGCGATGGAGTGACGCTTGCAGAGAGTTACATTCTTTAATGATGTATGCACGTATGTGTGTATATATGTATATATGTATGTATGTGTGTATTGCGTATGTAGATGGTGATATTGCCAGTGGTAACACTTTTTGCGGCGGCGGCGGCGGCGTACTCTGCCTTGCTGTTGTTGCTTATCTGGAGCCCGGGGACCCCCGACGGCAGTTGTGATAGCGTGTGTGTATGTGTATGTATGTGTGGGTATGTATGTATTAGTGCATGCAACTGGCGCGACGTTTGAAGTGGCGTTGGGGCCCCCTACGTACCACTTTTTATACACCTGACCTCCGATATGCGGATTGCGATGGTGGGGAACACAGCGGGCTTGTTTTCCCGAGGAGGGGGAGGAGGAGGAGGAGACGGCGAGGATCTGGGGGTTCGCTGCCGTACAGCCGACCCGCCTTTGCTGCAGTGCGGCTGTTGAGGTTGCCGCCGTGTCAGGGGTGAAGAGGGTTGAAGCGTTTTGTGGCCGCGAGACCGGTCTGGGCCGTGGAAGCAGTTCCGTACATTCTCAACTGTCTGTGGGATTGTGGACGACCTGCCTCGCAGCAACCCGGCGGCGACGACTTCCCGGCGCCGTCTGGACAACATCCATTGCTGCAGGCGCTCTTTGTTACTCTTGGGGGCGATCTTTTGCGTACAGCATCATGAGTGGAATTGAGCTCAGCTCAAAACCTTTCTGGGAAGCAGGTGCAAAATAGGTGCTAACGCCTGTAGGCTGCCGAGGTGCTGGCAGGACAAATGTCTCCTGCTTTGGTATCCCTAGCAAGGAATCCGTCAACTGTGCGTCCACAGGCACACACCTTTGAGAATCCACAGGTCCATTTGAAAATCGCTTGTTCCAGATCTGATATGATGTGGACCTGTGTGTATCCGTGCGTTAAAGCGGAGAAAGGACTGTCCGAGCCTTCTTAATCTAAAGAGAATCGTGATGTAACAACTTTGGAATATCCCGAGGGGTCCTGTGTGCAGTTCAGGCCCACTCGTCAGGCCCACTTGTCGGCTTTCTTCTTCTTATCCAGCAGAGCTTCCGCCGCCGCGACTTCATCGTCCTCCTCAGGCACGAACTTGAACGCGGCCCGCATCGCCAGCGCCATTGCCAGCGCGATACAGAACCCCTTGACAATGAGCAGTGTGTGTGTGGCAGCAATCAGCCCTACGAGCCACAACAGCATCGTGGCTCCGAAACCCACGTCATTCAACTGATTGATCATCGCAACGGCCAGCACCATGTCCACCAGCAGAAGCCCGAGCGACGGATTGATGGCGGCGTTGAAGCCCGTGCCGTACACCGCCATCACGCCGGCGGAAAAGTCCGCCGTCGCACGCGCGGCGCAGAGTCCGGCGGAGATGGAGGTAGGCAGGCGGAAGAGCGCAAAGGCGGTGACCCAGCTGGTTCCTGTTTGTGTGTGTGTGAGAGGGCGTGTGTGAGAGGGCGTGTGTGAGAGGGTGTGTGTGTCTGTGTTGGGAGCGCGCGCGAGAGAGAGAGTGCTCGGGCCCCACCCCCCCACCCCGGGGTGGGGAGGGGTTACACGGGGGGGGGAGCTGCGTAGGTCGTCATCAGGTGTGGACGAACAACAAAAGGTTTCAACGTAAGGTTTTTGTCGTAGTGTACGGCGCTTTAGGTAATACGAGAAGTAGGCAAGCAGTCCCACGCGGTAGCAGCTGTCTGTCTCTCTGTCTATCTGTCTGTCGGTCTCTCTCTGTCTGCCTGGCAAGGCAACACCTCCCAAAGGGTGAAAGCAAGCAGACAGACGAGGCAGTGTACACAGAAGGTAACGAATCCCTTGCCCTTCCAAACGCCATTCCCCTCATCCCCCTTATGCCCTCCCCCTCCTGAGGCCAGAGACCAACCTGTTCGCAGCAAGGTTGCATTGCCGGCGCTCCGAAGGGTCCCCTCCGCGCGCGCCAAACGGACCAGCAGCGGGTGCAATCGCCGCAAGCAGTTGTACAGCAATCCGAAACCAGCCAAGCCGCCCGCCAAGGAAGTGAAGACAAGGACCCGCTGCCCGCTGCCCAAGGCCAGATGCGTGACGTCAGCCGCGATCACGGCAGCCCATTGGCCGATCCAGGGGAGGCCTGTCAGCGGGGACGAGAGACGAATCGGTCAAAACGATTTGAAAGAGGAATCGGTCAAAACGATTTGGAAGAGGGCTACGGCAAAGGTAAGAATGAAAGCAGTGCACAGAGGCGGTGTCTTGCTACAACTACGACTGCTTGGAGCTCACGACTCCTTGGGGACACAGCTGGGCTGGATCACGATGCAGGCCCTGATTTTCTGGTTGGGTAGGGAACCCCGTACGGCCAGGAACAGTGGAACGGAATAAGAAAGGTCAGCAGTCAGGCCAGTTAAATGGATAATAGTTCGCAGTTGTTTTGGTTGTTCATTGGTCATAGGCTCACCGACAATTTCCACCAGTACTGTTTTCTTCTGGTCGATGCTGTAGCCCACCGGCAGCCAGATGTAGAGAACAGCCGCAAGCTGTAATGCAAATGCAACAAGCTGCAAAGCAGCATCTGACCACCTACATGAAAAGGTTGCATGCGTCGAAGTGAGGTAGAGGGTGGGATGGCATCGACCCTATGTTGGCCGGCGCCGCACAGGGACCCACCAAGCTGGTGTTATTGGAGTTTGGCTGATGAAATTCCTCCAGCTATTTCCTCCGGATGCAACATGTACCCGCGCATGGACATAAACCGTGACAACAAGTGCAAACGTGACTGCGCCGCGAAGCAAGACCGATGGGCGCCGCTCTGTCATCTCGCTACCACAATTCCTGCTGTACGTTTTTAGTCATATCGAAGTTATAGCTTTAGCGTTATCAAATATGCCTACCGCCCGCAAGTCAATCGAACTATTTACCGTACAGCAGTACTTTGTCGCGCGTCCGCGTCCATCGCTCTAAAACCTTCAAAACCTTCCATTGCTCCTCCTCGGAACTGTAAGGCTGCATCGTCTGTCAACCACAGGCCCTTCAGGTGGTCTACTGCAGGCCTGGGGCCCTCCAAGCAGACGCCCTCCTCGCCACGACGCCCATCTGATGTCAAAGCTCGCACCAGACCTCAAATCTCTGCGTATCAGGAGGTTTGGGTCTTCATTCATTAGAGCAGAATTCTACTGCTGCTGCGGCGGCGGCTGCTACCAAGGGACAGGACGCCACGACGATAGCTCCAGGAAACGTTTATCGTCACCATCATCATCATCATCATCACCATCACAATCACCAGCATTCCTGTATTCAAATGATCATTACACGGGGTCGGGATCACCGGTAGCGACAGCGACAGATTCTCAGCGGTCTCCCCCTCCATCGCGTCTACGAGAATCACTCGCCGGCACACACCGCATCTGTCTCCCACACCTCAGCTTATTCCTGCCCAAGGCCCAACAGAACAACCCCAGAGAAAGGCCATGTTGCCGTGTTGCCAAGCCTGGCCCAGCTTTGACGAACCGAACCGATTTAAGAGCCGCAACGAACCTAAGTCCTCCGGGCGGCAGTGTGGGATACAGCCCAATGTAGCCACCCCCGGTAGGAGGTGTGCGTTCGTACACATACATACATACATACATACATACATACATACATACATACATACATACATACATACATACATACATACATACATACATACATACATACATACATACATACATACATACATACATACATACATGGAAATAAATATTCGATGTGGACAGTCTTTGCGCACAGGAAGGTTAGATATACGCAGAAGGTTAGATATCGCACATTCATTCACTCCGCCAATTAACTTACAAAGTTAAAACACTCACACGTACATTACATGCGACACATACACACACGCACCCCGTCCCACATGTGTACAACACACACACACACACACAGACACACACACAGACACACAGACACAGACACAGAGACACACACACACACACACACACACACACACACACACACACACGCGCGCGCGCGGATGTCGGTGACGCTTTCCCCCTCGTCCTTCTTATTGCCGTCGTCATCGGCAGCCCCATGGGGGGGTTACTTGACGGCACTTGGTGACTCATTCATCAGCACCCCCCCCCGAACGCATGTGAGCGTGTGGTTCGCCGTGTATGTGTATGTGGTTCTACGACACACGAAATCACGAACGCCAAAGCCGACATCACGCCAGCCTGCCATGCCATATATGCTGCATGCATGCATGCATTGTTACAAGAGCGCCCGACGGCCGTCGTCTCGATGCTTCATCTCACCTCACCTCACCTCACCTCACCTCACCTCACCTCACCTCACCTCACCTCACCTCACCTCACCTCACTTCGCATCCCCCAACGCCGCTGTAGGGTCCGGAGCTGCAGCCAAGCCGCGCAAAACCGGCAACACGTCGTGCGACATGCGCCCGCCACCATGTGTGTCTGTATGTCGCTGCGGGTAATCCCAATCCTGATGTCCGAGGTAACAGAAATCACCACCACCCCATGGGCACCGTTCTGGGGCAACAACAGCAACAACAACAACACCGGCGGCGGCGGCAGCAGCAGCAGCAGCAGCACCTTTGTGCGGTGGTGGGAGCCCCCAACGGGGGGCAATTCCCAACGCAACCTGGTCCCAACTTGGTCCCAAAAAGCACGCACATACGTACGTACATACACACATGTACTTGTGGTCGTGCCATACATAATTACATACGCACATGCATACATACATGTGCTCAGGTCATTTAAAATACACATATACATACATACATACGCAACGCGTTCGTGCCGCGGTGGTGCCTTTTTGGGATCCGCATTGCAGTGCGCTCCATTCATGTACCACCTCCACCACAAACGCAAAACACACAGCACCCCCTCTCCCCTAACGCGATTAACTCTCCTCCCTCCCCCCTCTATCGATCTACCTATCTTACTCCTTATCTATCTCCTCCCCTCGTCCCCTCTGATCGTCTCTGCAAAAGCGCAACGTCGCTGCGTACGGTGGCAACCCCCGACCCCAGCCCGCGTGGCCACCTCCTGCGCGCCCTACCCGCTCCGAACACCTCCTGCAAGCACCGTCACGCGCTCCACCGCTGGCCGCCGCCGCCGCCAATGATGGGCCCAAAACGACAACAATAAAAGAGTGCATGCGCATGGTCGACCAAGCCGAACAAGCAAAGTAATGTGCAGAGCGGTCGACCCGACCCAACCCAACCCAACCCACCCCCACCCCCCGTTGGAGCCTTCACCGGAGGCACGGAGAGCCAAGGGCTGCCAGCCCGTGTCGGCCTACACGTACACGTACACGCACACACCTCACGCGCATCCGAGTGGGGAACTCCGAAGTTGCGAATGCGCAACGCCGTGCCACCCGAGCGCCACTCGCCCCTTCTTTCTTTCATATCTTATGTACAAGATGGGGTGCGCGGGCGAGCGGGAGGAAATGTCGAGCCAGCCGTGATTTCAACCCAGGGAGCGCCGTGTCGCGAGGGCAGAGGATGTCCCGCTGCCGCTGCTGGCGGTGGCAGCGGCGGC